GGGTTTCACCATGTTGGTCAGGCTGGTCTTGAACTCCCGACCTCAGGTGATCCACCCGCCTTGACCTCCAAAGTGCTTGGATTACAGGCGTGAGCCACCATGACCGGCTCTTACATTTTCCATTTTTACTAAAGTTTTAATTTTAAGAAAGAGACAGGATAGGAGGAGATAGAAATCTGATTTCATATCCGATCCTAATGAAAAGGCTTAAATTTTAACTAAGTCGGCAAATAGGAGTTTTTTATTATTTAATTAGCATATAAGTGGAAAGAGTTCATAAGCTTCACAATAGGCACAATCAACAGTTAGGTAAAGCACTTTATTGTTGCAAAGCTTTAGAATATTGGCCTTGCATATGCTTGGCCTCCATGGCTGCTTTATTAAAACTTGAAAATCTTCCTTGCTTCTTCAATAGATTTTGCATTTGTAGGAGGCTTCCTTTGGCTGCCAGGCTGCAGAAACTTCCTCACCGTGGGCAGGTTGCTGATTCTGGTTTTCAGGGCCTGTAATTCACAAAGCACAGCCTCAGAGTGAAGCTAAGGGCTGACATCACCGTTAACACCACCCAGGGAATCTGAGCCCTCCTGCCAAAGACCAAGTGAGTCCCCTCCATCAGCAGCAGTATGGAGGCAGAAACAGATACGCAGTGAGAAATGAAGAGAAGAGGAAGAACATGTAGCTCGCTAGCATTTTCCCCAAAGATGTCTTTAAGATTTTATTCAGTTCAGTCATCCCTAGCTTAGCCCTTACATATTAATACTGTAGATTTGTGGCTTTTGTGTAAGACAAGAAGATATCAACACAGGTCAGTCTCTAAGCAGAAGTGAAAATACGGAGAAAGGAGTTGGAAAGGAAAATAGTACAGAAAATGTTAAAGACAAACCATGGGACCGCTTTTTCCCACTGAGAGACACAGTGTGCGGGGCCGTGTGTTGAGAGGACTGTGCAGAGAGGAACACAACGTCCAGCAGCACAAGCCAGAGCCCAGGAAGGAACCAGATGGCAAGGGCCCTGCTCAGACACACTCAGTGTGGAAACACAAGGACACTCCTGAGATAAAGGGCATCACAGAGAACTCAGGGACAGGCTACAGAGGAAGGGGGAGGAATATGCTGGGCCCTGGGTCCTTTCCGTGATAAAAGGCAAAATACTCTTCATGGGGTAGCATGTCCCAGAGATTTCCCTGCTATAACAACAGTTTTTTCATGCCTCCAAATTGGGGCCAGGAAACTCATTTTGGAGACCTGAGAGCACTGAAGGCCTAAAAAAGGCTAGGGTCAGAAGATGACTGGTCCAAAGGCCCAGATACTAGATCCCAAGATGGGAGATGTGGGGTTGCCTCTCTGGGTGGTGAAATGGGTCACCTGCAGCAGAGGGAAGCTGAAGATAAGGCTGGGGTCAACCTCTTCCACAAAGTAGAGAAGTTCCACCAGCTGAATGTCAGCCCGGCTCAGCTTGTTGCCAACAAGGTAGTCTTGTCCATGGCTCTTTAACACCTGGAGAATTTGAGGAATCAGATCAGGAACACATGTGCAATCAGGCTGGGTCCCTGCTTCTCCCTGAGTCTTTCCAGCCTGACATTCCCACCTGTGTTGCCTAACTGAGTGACATAAAGGTCCAGGCCTTTGTTTATGTTCCCTGATTGAGGGAGGGAGCAAGAATGTGGCTCTGCTCACTCCTCCGTTGGAGCCCAGGCTCCCATTTTCTCTTCTCATTCCACATCACTGTGGCGTCCACACCACCCACCCAGCTTGCCTCTTCCACATGGGCCAAGGGCTTTACACCTGCCTCTGCATGTTCCGTCTGCCCCACGCCCTCCAGCGCGCAGTCCTGACATTTAGGATGCGGCTCTACTCTGCTCTCTCCCTCTCCAGTCTCCCTTGGGCAGCAACTCCACCTTCATGACAGCTCTCTTCCCCCAGGAGTAGGCTATTTCAGAGTCTTCACTTCTCCATATGTTCCATAGACTCAACAGCAACCTCTAGTGTGATTAAGAGCTTTCCACAGCCCACGTTCTACTCACAAACATACAATTTTTTTGAACAGAGAATTCTGTATTGGGGTCTAGTAAATTGAAATTTTGCTGGAAAATTATAACGGGAATAAGTGGTATCAATTGTTCTGCCAAGTTTATTTTCATAAAATGCCTTGTCTGCTTTCCTCATTTCCTGCTCTATCTCCCTGGGATCTGAAGTAAACTTGGGTGAACTTGAATTCATCATCTTTCTTGCAACATCAGCTCTGACTATTAACCTGCACTGTTATAATCTGTAAGCTGAAGCATCTAGGAGTGAACTACGCTGATGTCTGCAACTTACTTTAAAATGCGTCTAAGGCAGGGTGCAGCGGCTCATGCCTGTAATCTCAGCACTTCGGGAGGCTGAGGGGGCAGATCACGAGGTCAGGAGTTCGAGACCAGCCTGGCCAACCTGGTGAAACCCAGTCTCTACTAAAAATACAAAAATTAGCTGAGTGTGGTGGCACGCACCTGTAATCCCAGCTACTTAGGAGGCTGAGGCAGGAGAATCACTTGAACCCAGGAGGCGAAGGTTGCAGTGAGCTGCGATTGTGCCACTGCACCACAGCCTGGGTGATAGAGAAAGACTCCATCTCAAAAAAAAAAATGCATTTATTTTTTATTTTCATAAAAATGCATTTATTTTTTATTTTCATAAAATGACTTGTCTGTTTTCCTCATTTCCTGCTCTATCTCCCTGGGATCTGAAGTAAACCTCTGGGCAGGCACGGTGGCTCACACCTGTAATCCCAGCACTTTGGGAGGCCAAGGCGGGAGGATCACCTGAGGTCGGGAGTTCGAGACCAGTCTGACCAACATGGAGAAGCCCTGTCTCTACTAAAAATACAAAAGTTAGCCAGGTGTGGTGGCGCATGCCTGAAATCTCAGCTACTCGGAAGACTGAGACAGGAGAATCACTTGAACCTGGCAGGCAGAGGTTGCGGTGAGCCAAGATGGCGCCATTGTATTCCAGCCTGGGGAACAAGAGCAAAACTCCTTCTCAAAGAAACAAAAAACAAAAAGCAAAAAACTTCCTCTGCATCCCACAATCGCTCTCTTTTTAAGAAATACTCATCTCTGAAACACTACAATATTCTGTGGTTGGGAAATTGGTCTCCTGTCTTCCTACGAGGTGCCAGAATATTTTCTGGTGGATCGCTTTCATCACGTTCATCTTCAAAGTCTGTGTTCCATAGACTCAACAGCAACCCCTAGTGTGGTTCAGAGCCTTCCACAGCCCATGTTCTACTGACAAACATAAAATTGTTGAATAGAAAATTCTATATTGGGGTCTAGTAAATTGAAATTTTGCTGGAAAATTGTAACTTGGGGATAAGTGGTATCATTGTTCCTCCAAGTCTATTTTCATAAAATGCCTTGAGAGTCAGAGTGCTGCATTGGTGTTCAGGAAGTCTCACAGGAATGCCCAACCACTATTTTTCTATTGTCCTCTAAACTCAATGCCCCAAAATGCTGAAGAGCTTCACTTACTTTTTCAAAGGCAGGGAAATAGCGATTTTTTGTTTTCTCTTGGATCAAGGCAATCTTGGCATCTTTTTCCTCAGGTGGGCATAAGGGCAGAAGAAGGATCATTTCATACAAATCTGCCATACCTTCTGTATACATATCAATCCTGAAAGACAAAAACAACCAAAGGGTCAAATGCCTCTTGCTGTAGATTTTATAGGTATATAAAAACCTAAGAGAATAGAGTCTCAGGTGATGGCAAAGTAATTCACCTCCAGTGGGTGCTGTTTATATTCTAGATATTATACTCTGATTTTTGCATGTATATTGGCCTTCCTTCTTTCCTTCCTCCCTCTTTTGCCCAGTCTAGAGTGAAGCTGTGAGATCTTGGCTCATTGCAACCTCCATCTCCAGAGTTCAAGCGATTCTCCTGTGTGAGCCTCCTGACTAGCTAAACACGCACAGCTAATTTTTGTATTTTTAGTAGAGATCGGGTTTCACCATGTTGGCCAGGGTGGTCTTGAACTCCTGACCTCAGGTGATCCACGTGCCTTGGCCTTCCAATGTGCTGGGATCATAGACATGAGCCACCAGGCCTGGCCGACATTTATTTCTTAAAACTAGCTATTGAGGTAGATAGATCTCTAAAATTGTTCTTATGCACATGACCAAATATAGGTACAAACAGCATCAATGACCTGTCTACAGTCACAGTCATAAGAGAAATTGGTGGAATCACTGCCATTAACCACTGATGCTGTGCCGGGATTTTCCATGTCTATTGTGGTTTGTTCTATACATAACTTAGTGTGAGTCAAATGGCCAAAGACCTGCCTCCTGAGTAATCCTAAGAGAGTCCCTGGCACAGCCATCTCAGCCATGTTCCTCACCCTCTCTCATCATTTTACACCTCCCAGATCCACTTCTATGCCCAGTATTAGCAGTTTTTCCAATTACTCCTGTGAAACGTAATTCCACAGCCATCTCCGTGTGCTGTTGCCTGGCTCTGGCCTTGTGTGCCTTACTTGACATCCAATCTAAAAGATCGTCTTCCTTGGTGAAATTCTTTATATAGTCACAACCAGGACATATTTTAGAAGAACTTTTTTTTTCTTTTTTTTTTTTTTGAGACGGAGTTTCGCTCTTGTTACCCAGGCTGGAGTGCAATGGCGCAATCTCGGCTCACTGCAACCTCCACCTCCTGGGTTCAGGCAATTCCCCTGCCTCAGCCTCCTGAGTAGCTGGGATTACAGGCACGCGCCACCATGCCCAGCTGATTTTTTGTATTTTTAGTAGAGACGGGGTTTCACCATGTTGACCAGGATGGTCTCGATCTCTTGACATCGTGATCCACCCGCCTCGGCCTCCCAAAGTGCTGGGATTACAGGCTTGAGCCACTGCGCCCGGCTGAACTTTTTTTTCTTTTGTGTTAACTGGGTTTTCCGCAGTACTTTTAAAAACAATAGTTTTATTAACATACAGTCACATATTATAGTTGTCACCCTTTAAATTATACTATTCAGTGACTTTTAGTGCATTTACAGAATTCTGCAAATATCATTGCACTCTAATTCTAGAATATTTTTATCTAATTCTAGAATATTTTTATCATCCTGATAAGGACATCTGTACTCATTCAGTATTCATTTTCCCCAAGCCCCAAATAGCTGCAGGCAACCACTAATCTACTTTCTGCCTCTATGGGTTTGAATATTCTAGACATTTCATACACACAATCCTACAATATGTGGCCTTCTGTGTCTACTTTATTTTACGTAACATGTCCTTAAGGCTCAACTATCTTGTAGCACGCATCAGTACTTCTTTTCTTTTCATGACTAAATATTGTTCCATTGCGTGGCTAAGGCACATTTTGTTCCTCCATTTATTGGTTCATGGAGATTTGGGTTATTTCTACTTTCTGAATACCATGAAAATTGCTGTTATTTGCACTATACATTTATGTACAAGATTTGGTGTGGAGGTATTTTGATTCTTTTGGTGATTTACCTAGTAGAGGAATTGCTGGGTCATTGGTAACTCTACATTAAACTTTTTGAAGAACTGCCAGTAGTTTCACATGGGATGTTATTTGGAATCTGGCAGCCCTATCACAACAGCAAGGAGACCCCGTGGCTTTGCTGGTTTTCAATAAATCTGGCTGCCTTGGCCTTGAATCAATGTGTCAAGGTAACCCCAGAGTTCTGGGTGCCAGCCTCTACTAGCCTTGCTCAAGTTGACCAGTCCATATAATGGGCTGGTAATTTGGGTTCCTGGTCATCATTCTTGGATTTACTGGGACTTGAGATTCAGCCCCTTTGCAGCCTTCCTTCCCCAGTCCTTCATCTAGACTCCCAAACAGTCTATGCTTGTCCTAAGCTGTTGACTGAAGTCCAGCCTGTGAAGGCCTGAGCACCTGGAATCATGATTTGCACCCTCCTCAGTTCATGGTTCATCCGTGTTTGGAAATCACCATCAGGTGCTGGATCCATGGACTGCATCCTCTTCTAGAATCACCCTCGCCTGAACCCACCCCATGTTCATTGTTCCCTCATCTCCATGGGACTCTAAAATACTGGATCTCGGCATACATGCCCAAGACCCAGCCTGCTGCTGGTCATAATGCCCCTGCCATGGTCCCACCCACTCAAGGAAGGACCTAAATCACTCTGTGCTCTCTGTTGATGGAAGAACAGAAAATATACCGTACAGGGCTCTCTCCTTTATGTCTTTCCCATAGAGGTCGTATTTGCTGGCAATGTAGTTGAGAATGGCTCTGGTCTGCGCCAGCTTCATCCCGTCAATCTCAACCATTGGCACTTGCTGGAACATCAAATACCCATCTTTAGAAAGAAAGAAAGTAAAAAAGAGCATGAAATTTCTATGAATCCCACTCCTTCAGGATGAAAAGATGGTGATAAAATGAAAATGAAATTATTGCCTATTAACCTCCAAAATGAAATAACATTTTGATTTTAGCTTCCTGTAGTTCTTTTTCTATCTGATTTCTTTCACCTTTTTTTTTTTTTTTTTTGAGACGGAGTTTCACTCATGTTACCCAGGCTGGAGTGCAATGGCGCGATCTCGGCTCACCGCAACCTCCGCCTCCTGGGTTCAGGCAATTCTCCTGCCTCAGCCTCCTGAGTAGCTGGGATTACAGGCACGCACCACCATGCCCAGCTAATTTTTTGTATTTTTAGTAGAGACAGGGTTTCACCATGTTGACCAGGATGGTCTCGATCTCTTGACCTCGTGATCCACCCGCCTCGGCCTCCCAAAGTGCTGGGATTACAGGCTTGAGCCACCGCGCCCGGCCCTCTTTCACCTTTTAGCCTGTTACTTCATTTATGGTTTTTATTCCCCATTCAGATACATAATAGGTCCCTTATATTTTTCTTGTGTTGATTTATGTTCATGATATTTTAGGAAAAAATTGAGACAGGTTACAACGGGAGTACCAGGGAGATGTCATTTAAAATGAGAACTTCCCAGGCTAAGTCTCATGGTGTTCATGACTTTTAAGATTGGTTCTGAAACATGATTTTACATAGCGATCCCTTTCTGTGCTCTTCAAAACCTACGGCATTACTACAATATTACCGTGTCACAT